GGAGCTGGGATCAGAGGATACGTTATGGCCCTTGTATTGACCAGCAGCTGGGGATGGGCCACTGGCCTCACGTCCCTCTGGTCATTCCCTGTGTGGCTCCAGCCCCTCACCTGCTCTCTGGGGACACATGCTGAGGACAGGAAGCAGCCCCAGGCCTTAAACTCACTCAGAGGACATGACCCAAACAACCTTAACCTCCAGTTCCATTCGCTTGTTCCCTTTGGCTCAACGACGATGGGCTATAAATTTTAAAAGCACTGTAGCCAAAAGCCTGGGGAGAAACAAAATTCATTCACCCATTCATTCACCCCTTCATTCCTTCACCAGCAGGCGTTACTGCACGTTTACTTGGTGCCCGGCTAGGAGGTGGGGAGGCAAACCTGAGGAAAGTGTGGCTTTCAAGGAGCATGCGAGCGGCAGGGCACTCCCCACCACCTTGGTGCCCCCAAGAGTCCTGTGTGACCAAGGCCTAGTCCAGCAGATGGTGGGACATCTGGACAGACTTCACCATCAGGGAGAAGCAAGTTGCTGTTGTGGGTCTGAAACCTGCTTATGTTGGAAAGCTGTATCATCTTTTTTATTTTGTGAATCTGGTTCCTCTTTGTTTCTCACCAGGCTTTTGGCTTCAGTCCTTTTAAAATTTATAGCCCATCGTTGTTGAGCCAAAGGGAACAAGCGAATGGAACTGGAGGTTAAGGTTGTTTGGGTCATGTCCTCTGAGTGAGTTTAAGGCCTGGGGCTGCTTCCTGTCCTCAGCATGTGTCCCCAGAGAGCAGGTGAGGGGCTGGGGCCACACAGGGAGTGGCAGGAGCAGAGAGGGGCTGAAGGAGGGAGGCACAGGCTCTGACAACAGGGACCCTCCTTCCTACCTACTCTTCCTGTGCTCTTTCTCTTGCCAGTCATGGTAACAGGGCCCACTTTGTCTATGGGATCATTTGTGACCACGGCTGCATCTGGGACCTCAGGCTTTAACCTGCTGGGGCCTAGGAACTGCCCAGCCCCCCTTGGAAGGGGCTGGCGGGATGGCCCTGGGAACTCGCAGAGTTGGGGGAAAAGAGGTTGGAAAGTTGAGGGGGGAAGAGTCCTTCAACTATAAAAAGAAACGCCCCAAATACTGCTCTCCACAGAGAGGGTAGAATCTTCCTGGCAGAGGGCAGGGGACCTTCCCCTCCTGACTCCAGTCCTGAGATTTCCTCCAGAGACTCCGGGGGGCTGCAGCTGCCAGGGCGTGAACCCCAACGGGGCACTACTCCCCGAGACACTCTGGCTCTAGGCAGCCAGGGGGCGCCACAGCTCCTCCTTTAGACTGGCCTGTACCGGAGTCCTGAAGGGGGCAGGGTCGTGAGAGAGCGGTGGGTACTGCTTTATCGCCCTGAGCTGCTCTCCTGCCCCACAGGTCCCAGCCTTCTTCTCAGACACGGCTCAGGCCCCATCCCGGGCCTCCCCTAGGCGAGCACCCCAGGGAGGAGGGCAGGACGTGCCCAACTGCCGGTGTCCCCTGCCTGCCCAGTCTCTGCAGCACAAGGCCTCTCAAATCCACACCCTGCCATTCTGGCTTTTCCATCTGGCCCCTGGGTGTCAAGTCTCTCTTTTGAACACTCCTACAGCCCCTTCAGCTCTCAGCATGACAACCTTGTCTCTCTCCCTTGGTGTCTCCGTCTCACCCTTTCTCTGTTCTCCCTTTTCTATGGTCCCTGTCTGATCATGGGCCTCTCCCCTCCCCGCCTCTCCCTCAGTTAATCAGCCGTGTAAAGATCTGTCAGGGCTGGACTGAGGGCTGGGCTCTCCCCACTGCTCTGGCCCCCTTGGCCGCCCCTTGTCCCCTCCCTCACGCAGCCCCTTCCCCTCACTTTTCCCCCCACCACATGATTTATCATCAGGACAGGGCACTGGAGGAAAGGGGCCTCTGGGTAAGGTGGGGTGGGGATAATGGGGGAGTGCAGGCGGCCCTGCAGATAAGGATCCCTGGGCTCCCGAGGGAGAGTGTTCCTGAGACATCTCCTGATCCTCCTGCCTGAAGGTGAGTTTAGAGGCAGGGTGGCATGGGAAAAGGGCTGGGACTTCCAGCAGCCAGGACCCAGTGTGACTCTCAACCCTGACAGTTACTGGCTGCATGACCATGGGCAGGCAAGCCTGTTTCTCCATCTGTAAGGGGCACACGATACCATCTAGCTCACAGTGTCTTGCACAACGTGTAAGCTCTAAGCTCGGTCAGTGTTGGTTTCTGTCCCTGCTGTCAGGGTGCTAGGCCACCCTGTTCCCCTGAAATCTGTCCCCTGAATCCTGAATTCAACCCAAGAGCTCTTTTGTACACGCCCTCTATATGCCAGGCACATTCAAACCCATAATGTCATGTAATCCCTATTTTATAATTAAGAAAGCTGAAATGCATAGAGCTTAACTGTGATCAGGGTATTACTAGAAGGCAGAGTCAGAACCAAGGAGCCTGACCCGGCAGGACCAGGACTGGGAGTGCCAGTGACAGCAGGTTGCTGGAGAAGAGGCTGACAAAAGATTTGCTGAGAAACTCAATTGGGCAAGAACTCCAAAGGCGCCTGCAGTGCCAGTGAGAGCCTGGGCTCTGCCCCTGCCCTGGTGCTTGCTGGGTGTCCTTGGGAAAGTCCTTTTCCTTCTCTGAGCCTCAGCTTCCTCTTCCTCATCTTGCAGGGGTTTGGGGCAAAAGATGGACTGGATGCTTGGTGAGGTCTCTTTCTGCCCTAGGCATTGTGTTCCCTCCCCTGCAAAGGGACCTGGCATGGCACACACAGGACAGGCTGTGGCTTATAGCTGTTTATAGGGTGAAAATCGCGTCCTCATCTTCCCCACCCCCATCCTGTCACTTGGGGTCTATAGTCAATGAGTCGTAAAATGAGAAAGTATCAGGAGCCAGCAAGGCGTGGCGAGCAGCTGGGGCAGCCTGGCTGCTGCTGGTGTGATGGAGCGCCAGCCCTGTCTCACCAGCCTCCACACCCAGCCCACGCCAGTGGGCCAGCAGCACCTCAGCCAGCCTGGGACGAGGCTCCAGCTGGACATCAGTTTGGGAGCCAATTTCAATGGGTCTAAAAGGCTCACCTTAAAAAAGGAATGAAATCTATGTGTCTGGACATAGAAAGATTTCTCCAGGATGTATAGTTGAGTCATAAAAGCAGGTTACGTGATCTCACCTATAAAATGATCCCATTTATGTTATTATATAGAAGTGTTGGTATGCACATAAAAAATGGGTGGTAGACTACAAACTGTGATTAGCAGTTATCTCTGGAGGGTGTGATTATAGGGGAAACATTCTACTGCATACATTTTTCCTTTGTTGGATCCTTAAAACAAGTACATATTGTTTTTATCATTTAAAAAAGGATAATCTTATAATAAAGATATTTCCATTATGGGGGGGAAGCCTCACAGAAATATGCATGAGCTAATGAAATTCTCAGTGTTTGGGCTGGAATTTTATCAAGCTAGGGTGGGAAGGCCTAAAGTATTAAATCTAAAATCAAAGCACAGGCTGGAGTGGTGGCTCATGACTTTAATCCTAGCACTCTGGGAGGCAGAGGCAGGAGGATCGTTTGAGCTTAGGAGTTCAAAACCAGCCTGAGCAAGAGAGAAACCTCGTCTCTACTAAAAATAGAAAAATTAGCTGGGCAACTAAAAATATATATATATAGAAAAAAATCAGCCAGGCATGGTGGTGCATTCCTGTAGTCCTAGCTACTTGGAAGGCTGAGGCAGGAGGATCACTTGAGCCCAGGAGTTTGAGGTTGCTGTAAGCTATGCTGACGCCACAGCATTCTAGCCTGGGCAACAGAGTGAGAATCTATCTCAAAAAAAAAAAAAAAAAGAATCATAAAATCAAAGCACAGTCTGATTTTTTATATTATTTTTTTTTTTTTTTTTTTTTTTTTTAACAGGAAACTACCTTGGAATATATTATTTTTTTTCTTTTAAAAAAAGATAGGGTCTTGCTCTTGCTCAGGTTGGTCTGCAACTCCTGAGCTCCAGCGGTCCTCCCAGCTTGGCCTCCCGGAGTGCTAGGATTACAGGCGTGAGCCATTGTGCCTGGCCCAAGAGTTTGATTTTTTTTAGAGAGAAAATCAACAATCCCTTAATGAGACTGGTTTGCAAATACCAAATCTGTCAAAATATATTATTCTTAAGACAAAGGGAGGCTGGGCACAGTGGCTCACGCCTTTAATCCTAACACTCTGGGAGGCTGAGGCAGGAGGATCACTTGAGGTCAGGGGTTTGAGATCAGCCTGAACAAGAGCGAGACCTGGTCTCTACTAAAAATAGAAAAAATAGCTGGGCATGGTGTTGCACTCCTGTAGTCCCAGCTACTCAGGAGGCTGAGGCAGGAAGATTGCTTGAGCCCAGGAATTGGAGGCTGCTGTGAGCTAGGCTGACACCATGGCACTCTAGCCTACCAGGAAACAGAGGAAGACTCAGTCTCAAAAAAAAAAAAAAAAGAATAAGTGGGGAGTAAGCGTAACAGAGGGAGTTACACTTACTGGGGAGTAAGTGTAACAGAGGTTCTTGGTGTCCACAACCCAAACCTGGACTCAGGGTTGGCTGCTGTCAGGGAGTGTCAGGGCTAAGGGTGCCCTTCCGCCACTCCCCGCACCTTACACATCTTGAGAACCAAGCCCAGATCAGTGCTGTGGTCCAACCCTTCTCCCCAAATGGACCCAGCTCCCCTCCGACCAGCCTGAGGGCCCCTGGCCTGCTGGAGCCTTCGGGAATGAACAACTCCCCTGGGGCCCCCTTGGCTCCCTGCCTTCCAGCTTTCTCCTGCAGCCACGCCTGGGTACATGGGACTCTCCTAGGGCCAAGGAGCATGCCCTGAGATAGGGGAAAGGGAGTGAAGAGACAGGTAGGCTTTAGCCTACATCTGAATGGGTATCTGAGGGTGTGGCATGGAGGGAAGGTCACTCCCGCTGAGGGACTCTGCAGTTCCCAAAGGGCCAATTCGATTTCCCCCTCCTGAGGAGTCAGCACAGAGGGTGAAAGATGCAGTGAGACACAAGTTTATTGGTGGAGCTGCAGAGAAGTCCTCCCTCTCTCTGGGATAGCCGAGGGAACAGCACCAACAGAGGGATGGACAGACAGACCCCCAAACTGACACGTGGATGGAGCAGACTCAGATGGACCACAGCACAGCCACACAGGCACAGAGACACACAGGCCACAGCACCAAGAACACACACAGAGAGACAACACCACAGGACTAGGACGCATGGACAAAGTGCAGGCATTGGGGCCCCTGCATAGACAGAGCGAGGGCCACATGGGGAGGGGGCCCCTGCTGACCTCCCCCAGGCATAGGCACAACAACAGCACACAGACAGGCAGATGCCCCAGCCAGCCAGCCACACAGACAAATGGACTGCACGGAAAGGGGCTCATGGCTCCCCAGACGGTGGGGAGCAGGGACCACAGGCCTTTCACAGCCCCTGCCACTGAACTGAGGCGGGGGAGTCCCTGCCCCTGAATTGGTCACGTCTGTTCATCTGACTCCCACCACACTGCCCCCCCCCGCCCCCCGACTTTGGTCTTGCCCACTGGGGCTGGGGCTGGGGCTGGGGAGTTTGGCAAGTGGAAGGATTGGGGGAGGTAGGGGTATGGGCCCAGTTTGGTCCCTTCTCCATGATCAGGGTAGAAGGTGCTGAGAGTCCAGGGCTGAGCTTGGGCTCAGCAGTGGGATGAGGACGGGGCTGTGGCTCAGGCTTGGGGGGGCTCCCGGCAGCGCAGGCACTGGGCCATCTCCGGCTGGTACTGCTCGACCTGCAGGGTACAGCTGGAGAATCCAAACCGGGAGTAGAGCCGCGATGAGGCTTCAGCCAGGACGGCTTCAGGGTCAGCAGTGGAGTCTGTGGGAGAGTGATAAGAGGCAGCATCAGTCCCCAGGGAGTCAGGAACAGGCAGGGGCTGAGATAAGGATGCACAAAGAGGCTGAGGGCTGCACGGCATTAAAGCCACGCGTAAATGCGGAGCTTGCTTTTCTTTCTGTACTGTATGAATAGTGTAAAATCGTCAAAGAAAATGTTGGAGACACTCACCCCTAATCGACCATGCTAACACACTAAACTGTTCCTAGTCTTCTATTCTCTTCTGTCTTTGGGTATCAATATTTCAGCAGCCATACCACTTGATTTCTCAGGACAATCCAGATGTTAAATATTCTGTCCCATTGTCCCTCTAGAGTTACCATCAAATATCCCACAAATTATAATATTTTTGGCATCCAAATTGCATGTCTCTGATTGCTTCTTGCATCTGGAAGAAACTCAAAAATCCTTTGTCAGCTCATGAGTCACCATATATATTTTTAATAGTTGAATCATAATGTAGATGTAATTTTATATTCAGCTTTTTTCTCTCAGCATTATACTATAAACATTTTTCCTAGTTGCCATACATTCTTCATAATCATCATTTTTAATAGTTATGTGATACCCTAGAGGGGAGGTGCCATAATCTATCTAGCTGCAGCCCTATCACTAGACCCGGAGGTACCAGTAATCTTTTAAAGGGTTGCGGATTCCCTGTGCTATTTCAGAGAGGGTGAAATCCCTGCCAGAACACCATGTCCGGGACTTCTAACATGCAACATGCACACACATGTGTGTGTTCTCTGAGAAAGTGAGAGAGACAGAGACAGAAACAGATAGGATCAAGAAAGACTGCAACAATCCAGGAATTCAAGCTATCATCCATGCTGGGGGTAGGGGCACGTGTGCAGAAAGTAATTGGCTGGGGCCAGTGCAGACTCACCAATGGCCAGGTGTGCAGAGGCAACGTGGTAGGTGAGCGTGAGGGCCCACAGGTGCAGCTCGTGGGTTGCCCGGACTCCTGGCACTGACAACAATGTATCCCGCACAGGTTCAAACCCCACATTGCGGGGGGTACCTGCAACCAGCACCAGCCATGTCAACACAAGGGACACTCCTTCCAGGGGCAGCCCCGTGGCCTTCACCTCCCCAATCCTGTATCCAGTCACCCTGTTGACCCCCACGATTCACCCTATGCCCAAATCCTCCCACCCAGGCATTCTCACCACTCTCTTCAGAGAAAAGAAGGGAGCCCAGTGCTAGAGGGAGTCAGAGGAGGCCCCAGGGTAGGGAGCAGTGGTGTCTGATTCACCTTCCATGAGGATTCGAAGAACATCACGGAGGGTGGGCGCCGTGGATCCAAGGGCACAGATGGAGAAGAGGAAGGTGCTGATGGGGTCAGCCGCCTTGTACTGAGGCTGTAGAGAAAGAGACCCCTGAGCCCAGCAACCAGGGACCTTTCAGAGCAAGATTTAGTGGCATCCTGGGGAATAGGACCTCAGAGAGAGGCCCCTGAGAACCCTGGAGAGGGGAAAGGGAATGTGACCCAGGGCTGGGAGAGTCCTAGGGAGCTGGGAGGTAGGAACTGGAGTAGGGGGAAGGAGGCAGAGAGAACTGGGAAGGGGGCTGGAGTATGGAGTTACAGGGAGGAAGGCAGGGCAGGCCTCCACAGACGGTACCTTGAAGTAGATGAGGATGGAGGCAGCCAACACCCCAAGGCTCTGCAGGAGGTCGCCCAGGACGTGCACAAAGGCTGCCCGGACGCTGGTGTTCCCCAAGGGCAAGGGCTCCCCAGGCCCCTCCTCTAGCGGTGCATACTCTGACCCCCTAGACCCGTGGCTGTGGGGGGGCCCAGCCTGGTGCAGCACAAAGGCCATTCTGAGGGAGAAGCAGAGTGGCTCAGCCCAGGTGGCCTGCCCCCCACCTCCTCTGCCACTATGTCCATGCTTCCTCCTCCTACCTCCCCCATAATCCTTTTTCCACCTATATTCCCAGCCCCAGGAAGAAAACAGCACTGTCCGAGAGAGAGAGAGAGAGAGAGAGAGAGAGAGAGAGAGAGAGAGAGAGAGAGAGAATGAATACGGGCTGGGGGAGAGAATACTGGGCTTGGTGCCAGAGATGTGGATTCAGATCCTGGCCTTGCTACCTAAATAGCTATGTGGCTTGGGCAAGTCACCTGGTCACCTGTTGGGATCGATTTCTTTAACAGTAAACTAGGGGTAATACTGCCTACTAGGGGTGGTTGTGAGGTTTAAATGAGACAATACTGATGAAAGCCCCCAGCAGAGTGGCTGGTACACAGTAGGCCCTTAATAAATGTCTGTTGACATTGAAGTCTAGGTCTCTATTCCAGGCCCTTCTCAGACATGCCCAGGGCAGACAGCTGAAAGCTGTGTGCACGTGTCTGGCAGGGGAGGGGAGAGCCAGCTCTCCCATCCTGGAGGAAGACCCCTCACTTTGAGCTCCACATGGTCCCTGCTCCACACTGGAACGTACAGCAGATTGGCACAGACTGCGATGCTGGCGGTCAGCAGCATGGCACCCCCCTCGATGTGGTAGTCGCTGTGCAGCAGTCGGATGAAGGCCAGGTACAGGAGGATGCCAGTGACCATCCAGAGGGAGACCACGGAGGCCAGAGCCCCTAGAGTCTCTGCAGGGGGAGACAAGCTGTCAGAGACATGCTCGGGACCCTGACAGGTACCCTCTGGCAAGACTGGAGGGTCACTGGTCATGCAGGAGCCTTACCTGAGCGGTGCCAGCCAAAGGTCATGGTGCGGGTGGCTGGACGTGTGGAGAGCCAAAGGGAGAAGAGGCTACCCATCATGCTGCCCACGTCCGCCAGCAAGTGGGCCGCATCGGTCATAATGGCCAGGCTGTGCGCCAAATACCCGCCTGCCAGGGCGAAATGACGTACAGTGCTGGTTCCGTTTAGCGAATGTCAGGCAGTATGTGCGTATGGGCGTGGAAAATAAGTTGAGGGATATACACCAAAATGTGAATTGGGGTTTTCTTGGATGATGGGATTACAGGTAGTTTTCATTTTCTTCTTTTCTTGTTTTTTTTTATTTTTATTTATTTATTTAAAATTATAAATTTTACCTTTTTTGTTTTGTTTTTCTTTTTTCTTTTCCAAGGTTCTGCTTGATATTTTCTTCTTTTCACTCATCTAGTTTTTCTATAGTGCCATCTTTTTTATTTTTTTTTTTTTTGAGATGGGGTGTCACTATGTTACCCAGGCTGGCCTTGAACTCCTGGGTTCTTCCCACCTCAGCCTCCCAAGTTTCTGGGATTACAGGCATGCATCACCATGCCCGGCTTACAATGACATAATTTGTTTTAATAACAAAAAAAAATAGGGCCGGGCGCTGTGGCTCACGCCTGTAATCCTAGCTCTTGGGAGGCCGAGGCGGGCGGATTGCTCAAGGTCAGGAGTTCAAAACCAGCCTGAGCAAGAGCGAGACCCCGTCTCTACTATAAACAGAAAGAAATCAATTGGCCAACTGATATATATATATAAAAAATTAGCTGGGCATGGTGGCGCATGCCTGTAGTCCCAGCTACTCGGGAGGCTGAGGCAGAAGGATCACTCGATCCAGGAGTTTGAGGTTGCTGTGAGCTAGGCTGATGCCACGGCACTCACTCTAGCCTGGACAACAAAGTGAGACTCTGTCTCAAAAAAAAAAAAAAAAAAAAATAGGCCTTTAAAAGCCCAGTTGACACCTAGAAGTGAGCCCTAGTGGGCCCCGGACCTTGGCCCAAATTCCCCTTGGTGCTCTGTCCCTCACCCACTCCTACTTCCTGACTCCTGAGCACCCAGCACCCCCATCCCAGCCATCCCCATCTTCTCTGCACCTCCACCCGGGAACACCCCTGGGACTCTGAGAGGACAGTGGCTTAGGCAGGTGTCGGGAGGATGCTCTCCAACTTACCCACCACCTCCCCAGCCATGAAGACGAAGCACACAGCACAGGCAGCGTACAGCTGCCTCCGCGCCTGCAGCCTCTCGGGGGTGAGGCCCTGCTGCGGCAGGGCGTCCCTGTGGCAGTGGTGGAAGGGCATCTCCACAGGTTTGGGCTCCTCGGGGAGGGGCTCTGAGGGCTCTGTGAAGAGACTGAGGCAAGCAACAGGGTTCAGCCTGAGCCTGGCCCACAGACTGGCCTGCTCTCCGCAGGTCCTCCATGCCCCAGGCTGGCCTCATCACATGTGGCCAATCTCTCGCTCTGTCCCAAGGCCTGTCATACCCGGGAGCCTTGTGGACAGAGGGCCATATGAGAGATGGGGGCCAAATGAATAGTTCAGACCCCAGCCTCCCTCTCCCTTCCATACACAGAGCCATAGAGTGTCACAGCTGGAAAGCACCTAAAAGACAGTATCATCTAATATTTTATTAAAAATATTAGAAATGTGAGGCTCAGAGAGGGAGAGGATGTATGGAGGCCACACAGCCAGTTGGCGGTAGAGCTTAGACTAGACCCAAACCAAATCAATTTATTAAGCTGGTCACCACAAGGAATACAAAATGAGCAGGACATCCTTTTCGATCTCCAGGAACCCTTGGTGAACAAGACAAATGTGTACTAAATGCTACGATCCAGAGCAGAAGGTGGTCATTGCCATCAGAGCAGTTAAAGTGCTATCAGGTCTCTGAGGATAGAGGAATAGTTTAATTCTAACAAGGAAACAGCTAGAGGAGATAACATAAGAAAGGCCTTGAAGAATGGGAAGCATTTTGGTAAAGATGGGTGAACATGCAAGGCAAAGGCAATATGAAGAGAAGCAGGTATGACAATGTGGAGCTGGACTCAGCATGTGATCCTGGCCCTAGTGTACCTCCTTCCCAGGCCACTCCCAGATTCTGCCCTTCCCTCCCTACACATGCAGCTGAAATGCGGCCCTTTAAGAGGAGAGTGGAATGTTGGGACCCAAAATGTCTGAGATTCTAGGCACAGAGAACTGAGGGCTAGATTCCAGAGCTGAGGTGGCCATGAGGAGGTACTGAGGGCTAGATTCCAGAGCTGAGGTTGTCATGAGGAGGTATGGGTACAGACTGTTATGGCTGGGGATGATAGTGGTAGGGGCACTGGATTTGGAGTCTGTTACACATTAACTGGGCCTCAGTTTGACCACAGGCACCCAGCAGAGGCCATTTTAACTGCAGAGTGCCATAAGCCTCCCCTGACAAATACACGGGGCTGAGAGCCTTATCTGGGGATCCCAGAGGCTGGGCTCAAGCTGAATGAGTTTTAGGTCCATTCCAAGCCAATTCTCACCTCCACCATTACCCAACCTGAACCCCAGCAAGGACAGAACCTTCCACAGAATAAAGGACATGAATAGAAAATACAGTACTGGGGGAGGTGTGACGAGAATACCCATGAATGAAAACAATGGCTCCAGATAGAAAGTGAACACAGCAGCAGAGTGGGGTGGGATGCCTGGGGCCTTCTGGCGAGGAAAGCTCTGCCAAGTGGGTGAATTGAGGTTTGAAGGAGGTGGGGGGGGGACATTTGGTGCTTGTAGGGAAAATTCAAGTGCTTGTAGGTAGATTAATTTCTCAAATTCAAAAGCCCCATGCAAGACTTCAAATCGGGTATGTATGGTTCTAGGTGTGTTTCCAGAGGAGATGTGGAGATGGGGAAATGAAGGTGGCTTTGAAACCCATCCTCATTCATTCAATGAGGTGTGCCAGGCAGTGTACACATAACGAAGCCCAGACTAGTGGGAGAGACAGATGTGAAACAAGTGACTTACTATGCAAGGAGAGGCTGGTGCTGGAAGGGTTATGAACAAAGGACTTTGGGGCACAGGGGAGGGAGCACCCACTCACAGAGGGTAAGGAGAACTTCACAGATGAAGATATGTTTAAGGAGAGGAGACCTAGGTGGAGAAGGGTGCTCCGGACATGGTGAATGACAATGGAATGACAATGACAAGGTTTGTGGTGTGGAGTTCAAGTGGGAAGCACCAGGGGAAGGACTGAGGAAGAAAGTGATGGGCTCAAAGAAACATACAGGGAGATACATCGCCTGCTTGAACCAGTATTTCCTGAGTCCTGAGATGACCTTGCTGATTGGGAAGAAGAGAGGAAAGGAGAGGAGATGGAGAGGGTATAGAACAGACAAGGCCAGAGCCTCCTGGCCCAGAGTTTTAGAGGAGGGGCAGGTAGGTTAGGAAGTGCCTCTTTCAGAAAATGCTGCAGGATTTGGTGACTAATGGTCATACGAGAATGAAGATGGGCTGGGAGTCAGAAATGCAGGTCTGAAGAGCAAACTACGGCTGGGTGGCTTTGGAGCAGTGAGCAAGATGCCTTCCCCGGCCTTGAGGTACAGCACACCAGTCACCAAGGTAGCCACCCATCAACAGGCTGCTGCCTTTTGTTCTGCATAAATTGGGCACTGAAGAAGCCTCATTGTTGGTGTGCGGGGGTGTTCCTATGTGGGGTGGCTACCTTCTGCTTAGAGAGAAGGAAAGGCTGGTTCCTCTCCCTGGCCCTCTGAAACCCCCAACAAACAACAAATAAGATTGAGTGGGAAGAGGGACGAGGTAGTGAGGGGAGAAGAGGCTGAAGCAAAGTCAAAGGAGATGTGAAGAGGTGTCAGGGCCACGGCCGAAGCCCCCCCAGCTGCCAAGTCTGCAGGCCTCTGCAGGAAGGGGTCTCCACTCCCCTGTGTTCACCCACTTCCCCGCCCACCCAGGTTTAAGGCCACTACCCAAAGAAAGAGTGAGAAACACCACGTCAGAGACAAAGGGAGACGGCTGGGAGAGAAACAGAAAGACTGGGAGAGATGGGGGAAGAGAAAAGGCCGAGACCCTGCCAAATCCCGGAGACAAACGGACGGTAAGCCAACAGACAAAATGGCCAGCGGAGGTGGCCCGGGAGGGCCCGGCGCAGCCGCTCCGAGGGGCAGGGCGGAGGGCGCCGGCGGGCACGGGAGGCCGCCGGGGCGCGGAGGCGGTTCTCCGGCCGCCCCCGGCCCGCTGTCCCGGCCGCTCGGCGCGCCTCATTTCACACCTCGCCGCCCCCGGCCCCGTCTGTGCGGAGCCGGGAATACCCCCGCCGCCCAGATCGCACCTGCTCCTTCCTCGCCGCCCCCTCGCTTCCCGGCGGCCGCCCGCCTCCCCGGCCCTGGAAGACCCTCCGCTGAGCCCGGGCCCAGCCCCGGACCCGGTGCCCACAGCTGGCTGGGGCTGGAGAGAGTGCCCTGAGCCCGGGCGCGCAGAGGGAAGGACCCGGGGCCTACAGATGGGGCTCCGGGGTCGCCAGGTGCTCCGCCTGGGCCCGGAGCAATGCGGACATCGGGGCCCCCAGCGCGGGCTGCGGCCCGACGGAGCGGCAGCAGCTCCCAGGGAAGTCAGATGCGGTGGGGGCAGCGGAAGGGTCTGGAGGCTTGGGACGCCGGCCTGGGGCCGCTTCGCCGGACCGGGAGAAAATTAGGCTGCCGGGAGGAAGCGTAGCTGGCTGTAGAGGGGCTGAGGTCGGGGCTGACTGGGGCCCGGGGGGCTCTGTGCAGCCTGAGGGGACGGAGCCGGGCGCAACAGAGCCAGGCGCAGCGGAGCCGAGGGAGCCGCGGTGTGCTGGGGCAGGCAGCCAGGGCCCGCGCCGAAGGAGACAACGAAATGGACCGAGGGTAGGAGTGTGGCACCCCCAGGGCGAGCGCCAGGCAAAGTCTGTCCTACCTCTTCAAACGCAGGCCGCCGCCAGTGCCGCCGCGGTCCCGGGGGCTCACCAGACGAGTGGTCTCCGAGCCCCCCGTGGCGGGAGAGGGCTCCATGTCCCGGCTGCCCCGACCGTCTAGGCCCCGACGAGGGACGGAGAGGCGGGGCCGGCCGGAGCCAAGTCCAAGCGGCCCGCCGACCCCTGGACTCCCCGCAGGGCCACGGGACCACCAGAGTGGAGGGAACTGCAGCTACTGTGGCGCGTGGAGTCCGAACTGCAGATCCCGCGGCCGCTGGAGCCCCGCCCCGCGTGGGGCGAGCTCCCCAAGCCCCGCCTCCAGGCTCCCCGGCCTCTCTCCCACGCCTAAACCCCGCCCCGGAGCCGCGCCCCCACAGCCAAAGCCCGGTTTCCCGACGCCAAAGCCTGGTGGGGGAGGCGGGAGCGCCCCGCCACCCGGGTTCTAGAGAATGCTCCATCTCCATAACCCCGCCCCCTCAGCGAACTAGCCCCGCCCCATGCAAGTCCCGCCCACCAGTTCCAGGCCAAGCTCCTCAAGCCTATGGACCTCCGGATCAAACTTCACCCAAGGTACATCGTCCTTTGGATGCCCGTGCGGGGGGTATCGCCCCGCCACCCCGTTACCTTGTGGCCCCAGACCCTATGCGGAGGCCGAAACAGGTGCGGACCCATTACCTATCTAGAGAGAACGAGAAAGAATGTGGGTGATTGGTGGTGACACGCCAGGGAGTACCGCAGGAACTCCAGCCAGAAACCCCTCTGTGGAGGATCTGGGGTTGGAATTCACGAGAAAAATGTGCTGCCAAGCACTGTACTGCTAATGATCATTTATTTTTACACTGAGACACTGGGTGACAAAAAGCTTCCTGTTCTCCCTCAACCCATTATTATCCCTGCTTTTTGGATGAGTAAACTGAGTCCCAAAGGAAGAAGCGTCCAAGGTCATGCAAGCCGTGAATAAAGGGCTGGGACCGGAACCCCATCCTCCTTCCCTCCCGGCGACAGGACTGCACTGACGACCGAAGAGAGTTAGGTCACGGTGCTCTCGCAGGCTGGGGTAGCCGGTGGAGTCCGTGCCCTCTCTGGGGTCACAAGACACTGTTTATGGTGGGAGGCTGAGGCTCACAGCTTGTCAACTGGCGATTCCTGACCTCCGTACCTGCAGCACCTTCCCGGGCATTACCTCATTTTGCCTCATTTTGAGTAAACTAAAACCCAGGGGAAGGAGCCACTTACAGCGAAGTCGGTGGCCCAGCCTGGAGTCGAAGCTTCAAATGCTCAATGTTCTCTGCCCCTGGCACTTGCCGCCACTGTAGAATGAAAGGGGGTGGGAACTGGATTGTGCACTCCAAGCTGTGACAGTCTGTGAAGAGGAGGGTCCGTAGGAGGAGGGGAGACAGTGAGCAGGGATGGGGAAGCGAGGAGGGTGGGAGTGGTTAGCGAGCCCAGGCTAGAAATCCGTCAACCGTACCCTTCAGAACACACTGGGCGTCCTGAACTGAGGGTTCTGGAGATAGACACCTGCCCTCGACACTGTTGTTCCAAACAATGAGCCTGCGCGTCCACTTACAAAAACAGAACTGGTGCACGTGCCAGATAGAGTGGTTGGAAGTGATGGGGTTAACCTGGGAGAGCTTCGCGGAGGAGGTGAGGCTTAAACGGATTAGGCAAGCTGGGCGGCGGGCTGGCAGGGGAGAGTGCTAGGCTCCTGCCAAGGTTTGCGGGCGGCGTGTTCGAAGTGATGTACTGCGCGGTACAGGGGAACCGAAGGGTCTGCGCGCGCCTCCGCCCACGCCACGCTCGCGGCCGCAGCCTGCCTTTCCTCGGCGCCTGCCCCCTCTCCTGGCCGAAGGCCCAGCCAAAAGCCCAAGCGGGGCGAGGGGGCGACTGGGTGAGGAAGGGGGGCTTTCTCCCTCCTACTTCCCCTAGAGGCGTGGGGCTAGAAGGGCATCAGCTACCTCCTCAGGTCACAGGGGGACAAACTGAGGAGGCGAGAGGTGAGACCACTGGCCAATGTCACCTTGTTGGCCCGTGTCAGAGCGCGGGTGGGACGCATGTCCCTGCTCAGCCATGCCAGGGCCCAGGGTACGTCCCTCCTGGTGCCGTCGGTTTTCTAAGTTTCCGCACCCGTGCTAGGCTTTCCCTAATTCTGAGAACCCTGGAGCTGGGATGCGGAGGGGTCACTGCGCACTCCAAGGCTCCGATGCGTTAGCCTGGCCCGAAGTGGCCGGGGTGGGTGCGCTGGAGAATGGGGAGAAACCGCGGAGCCCTATGCGGGGAACCGGCTTCTTGGCAGGCTCAGCTGATGACGACAACAGGGGACAAAACAACAATGGCTTCCTCCGGGATTTCCCTTCCTGCGCAGCCCGCCGCGCACGGACAACAGCCCCGAGTGCCGGGAGGGGGCGCAGACGCTGGCACGTGCCCAACCCGCCGCCGCGCGGGAGCTAGCAGGCGGGGAGGGAGAGGCACGTTGGAGCTGACCGCCGCGGAACGTGCCGCCTCCGGAAGCCAGGGCTCTGGCAATGGGAATTCCAACCTTCGCTTGGAAATTTATGTAAGGAAAGCTTGGCAACAAAACAGAATGCTTGCACCTGTTTCTCAAAGAGCCATCAAGTGGCCTTATGAAAATCTTTGCAAAGGGTCCTCGTGAATGCCAGGCCTGAGGAAGTCATGCTGCACCTGGATAGGAGCTAGGAAAATGATTCAGGAATTGGAAGGTCACCTTAGGACTGGTGACCTGTAAGTAACTACAGTCTTGTAAGGATCTTTCATTCAACATTTACTCAACATTTATTCCCTGCCACGCAGCCTGATTGGTGCTGAACAAGATAGACGCTTACCTCCCTTCCAGACTGTGACTTGACTGCAAGAGATTTTGCTCTGTAGTCCTTGTTACTGATTAATCCACATACTGTTACTGCCTGTCCTGTCCTGCCTCAGGTATCCATCTTCTCTAAGGTGAGTCATTAGGCTGCTCTTAGTCCCAAAGGCATGACTGAGGAGAAGCCCTGGATGTCCCAGGAAGATAGGTCACTGCCAGCTTCCAGAGGGCCTCTGGCAGAACAGGCCAGAAGACAGGTGCAGGGGGTCCCAGACTAGAAGTCCATGGTGGACCAGTTCATAATGGGAGAGGAGAGAGCAACGCCCACCACTGAGGTCAGAGTTTAAGCTGGGCTAGAGATCTCAGGCAAAATCTGTAATTTAAGCATGTGTGCAAGAGTTAACCCTTGAGAGGTCCAAGCCAAGCTGAAGTGTATGGGCAGAGGCAAGCTGGAGGTCCAACTTGTACTCCATCCTCTGCTCAGATGTCACCTCCAGGAAGCCTTTCCTAACTTACCCCAGGCTGGGTATGTGATGCTCCCCAGTTCTCTCAGGGCTCACTCTGATCATCTGAGCACAGCACACACCACATTGTAATGAAATCCTCTGTCTGTCTCCTCACTAGAGCACAACTCCCTGAAGGCGGGAACTGCGTCTTTCTCGTACTGTGTCCCCAGTACCCTACTAGTGGCTGGCATAGTCCTAAATTAAGCCATCCCAAAAAAGAGGAGCTAGGTGTCAGAATGGAAGCAGGATGGAGGAGGTAGGATTTTTGCTGGTCACAGAGAGGATGAGGGAGGAGGCCTTCCCTGGCCCCCGTACTAGGTTGGTTCTCATGTCACCATGCTCATTGCACACTACGTTTTCTTTCTTAGCATTTATCACACTGTTAAACTGTTATTTAGGAATTATTTGTTTCTTCATTTGCCTTCCAGTATACCATAATCTAGTTTTCCTTCTGCTTCCCTGACTGCTTATTTTCAGCCCTTTGCTGGTTCCTCCCCACCTACACCTACTCAATCTCTTTAGTGCTGGATTAGCCCAGGACTGGTCACCCTCTTCTCTTACCTTTCCACACTCACTCCCATGGATTTATCATCCAGTCTTTAGCCTTTAAACGCCATCAAGTAACAGCAGAAAGTGATGGTTGTGGAAGCTGGATGTTGGGCACATAGGAAATCACTGTATTACTCTGTGTTTGCATGTGTTTGAAATTTTCTATTAAAACGAATTTTTAAAAATGGCATCTATCCTGGCAGTGGTAAAGATGAAAAAAGAAAAAAAGACATCTATATGGTGATGATTCCTAGATCTCTCACTTGGACTCCAAACTCAAATACCCAGATGTTAGCTTAACATATCTTCTCTAATGTCTAATAGATGGGCATATCAAGCTCCATAAGTCCAAAACTGAGCTCCTGATTGTCATCTTCATCCCAAACCTTCTCTTTCTGCAGTCCTCCCGTCTCAGAACATGGTAACTCCATCCTTCCATTTGCTCAGGCCAGAAACCTTAGGATCATCCTTGACTCCTCTATTTTCACCCCACATATAAGCTGTCATTAAATCCTGCTGTCACCTTGTCCAAATCACCATCATCAGCCTTCTCAATTATTGGCCTCCTAAATGGTCTCCCTGTTTCCACCCTATTGCCTTATGGTCTGTTCTCAACCCAGTAGCTAAGCAACATAGGTCAGATTTTGTCACCCCTCATCTTACTCAGAGCACCAGCCAATGTTCTTCTAGCCATTAGACCAACCTAATGGTCTACAAAGTCCTACACAATTTAGCTTCCTCTGAACTCACTTCATACCCCTCTCACCTCACTCATCCCACCCTGGCCTTTGTGTGTGAGTCCTCCAACACACAGGGCATGTTCCTGCCCCAGGGCCTTTGCATTTGCTCACCTCCCTACTGATAATGCACTCTGCCAGATGTCTCACAACCTCCTCACAAACTTCAGGTCTTGACTCAAATAACACCTTCTCAGGCCCTCTCTGCTTATCCTTTTAAAAATTGCAACCTCCCCCTGCTAAACATTCTCTTTCTCCATTCCCTGCTCTATTTTTCTCCATAGCCATCATGACCATCTAACATACTGTATATTTTATTTACTTTGTTTATCCCCTCCCATCAAAAGGCAAGCTCCATGATGGCAGGAATTTGTGTCTATTCTGTGTGCTGCTGTACCCCTAGCACCTAGAACAGTGTCGAGCACATGATAGCACCCAATAAATATTTGTCGAAGGTCTTGATGAATGTCCGTCTCCCACATTAGGCTATAATCTACGAGGTCAGAAAAAGAATTTGACCACTTATCGTTGTATCCAAAGTACCAGGCATACAGCAGTGCTTGGTAGATATTTGTTGAGTAAGCAAACTGATTAAAGAAGAGGACAACTCATGGGGGGAAATGGTATGAGAGCACCTGTACAGAGGTGAGAAAGAACGGGGATATTTAAGGGGGCAAGACCAATTTGATTGTTGTGGAAGATTCACTTTAGGACAATGGTAAACAATGAGTTTGGAGGGGTAACTTGGTATAAAGTTGTAGAGTTCTTTGTCAGATTTAAAAGGTTGTTTTGCATCCTGTAGGCTATGAGTAAAGCAGTGATAATGATGGAAGCATTGCTTTAAGAGCATGGATCTGATGGCAGTATGCAGGATGAGACTGGCAGCAGGGAGAATAGGCAGGAGGCTAGGAAAACAGCCAGTGGGATATGTAAATCTTTTAACTGGGGCACTTCAAGGCTGTGGGAGCTGAAAAGAAAGGACACATGAAAGAACAAATGATCTTGAAAAAAAATTAATCTGACTTTTTAAACCTGAATTTGGGGAAAATAATAAATCTACATCCCAGTGATGCTTGGGTTTTGAACTTTATTTTCTTGGAACCAGTCATAACACTAACAGAAATAGAGACACCAAAAGGAACAACCAGTTTGGGGAAAAGATGTTGATTCAGATTTTAGAGTGTGGTTTTGAGACAATGGGACACTGGCACGTGGATGACATCAAAGCCTCCCTGTAACAGCAGAATCAGGGGTATAGACTAGATCTTAGATGAAGAGAAGAGAAAGCACGAGCAGAAGCTAAAGACCAAGCCACAGAGAACATCCATAGTCAGGAGGTGAGAGAAGGAAGAGAGCCAGCAAGGGGACAGGAACCTTACCAGAGATGTACGAGGACAACTGGAAGCCCACAGAGCCCAGGAAATGAGAGGATGGGCAATTGGCAGGGTTGAACAGAAAGGAGACAAGTGATTTAAGGGCCAAAGTCTTTTCCCAAAGCATAGCCTGATATTTTTCACTTCAATTAGTCACTCTGCCTGAAACTCTACCAGTTACTCCTTTTGCATTAGTGAGAATTAAGAGGATATAAGGTATTGTCTCTCCATCCATAATCTAAATTACAGTGTTTTAATCAGATTGCTTTCTACCTAACCCTTAGGGATGAGGTGATTCTATGGAGGCAATAGTTTTTATTAGAAATGTTGAAAGGAAAGGAAATAAGAGTAGTAATTTTGGAGTTTTGGCTGCTTTGAGAGAACCATGGGAGGTGTTTTGGATAGCCAGAGGGCAGCATGAGCCCTGGGTAGGAGAACAAGAAAATGGGGTTCTAAGAGGCAGGGAGAAGGATGTAGAAGGATGGAAAGACACCAATGACAATTTGCAAATCTTACAGGAAAGACCCTGTTTTTTCTCTTCTTCCCAGAAACAAAATGAAAAGCAACTTCTCTCCTTATAAAATTGGGAGGAGACAGGATAGAATTATTACAATAATAGTAATAATAATAAAGCACTTATCATGTGCCAGACACTGTTCAAATTAAATATTTGATCCTCACAACAATCATAAGAGGTAGACACTACTACCTTCATTTTACAGCTGAGACAGGTGTGCTGTTAGTCTGGCATTAGGTCTACAGAGTCTGTGGTTGCAGGTCAGAGAGGACAGGAACATGAAGCAGCCTGTCTAGCTGAAAGCTCTCTACCTCCCACCCTAGATGTCTGGCCTGGGAAGGACAGGCAAACAAAACTGGGCTGGCGGTGCTTTGGGTCACATGTAGTGTGCGTGCCTCCTACTGAGGGAAGGGATAGCAAGACATCACAGACTTCACCCACGAGAGGACATGAAGATCTCCCACAGCTTTGGGCTGTCTCCAGATCCAGATTTTAAAGTGGAAAGGGAGCTGGCGCGTATAAGGTGCAGTTGTGGTGTAGACACTGAACTTGGAGTCGTGTCTTAGTTGGACTTAGGTCGGACGTCACTGGGTAACCTTGAGCAGGTCAATCTTTCTCTCTGGACTGCACTTTCTTCAATTATATTAATAAAATGAAGGCACTGGATTAGAGTTAAATCTCTGAGGTCCCTTCCAGCTCAAAGACTGTATAATTCCAGAACGAACCTGGTGGTTGAGTATGACAAATTATGATCTCTCTCTCCCACTGCATATGTTCTAGAGTGTGGTATTTTGAGTATAAATATGCCAATGTCTGCTGTCTGTATGGGTGTGTATTCCAGCTATATTACTAAACTTTAGTTGTTTGTGGGTAAATAAGGGATGCTTCTTGGTTTTCTCCAGGAGAGACCAAATGGCTCTGGGGGGTAGTAAACTGTAAGATCACTGACTCAAAGTATGGTGGGAGGGCAAATGATTCAAGAAAAGGTTTTAGTCTTTAGTCATTCTTTGGTATAGTTATTTTTGTTTTTTCCATTTAAGTCTTGACATCAACCCTGTGAAATGGCACAGGTTTTCTATAGAGAGGAAAAAGATACTGTGAGATTAAGTGACCTATCCAAAATCACACAGCTTGTTAGAGCCAAAGCCAGAGTTAATATCTGTGGCTTCTGACTCCTGGTTTGTGTCTTCTTCCTCTTCTAACATGTGCTCATGTTAGAAGAAACCCTAGGAGCCTGAGCAAAAGTGAGACCCCCGTCTCTACAAAAAAAATAGAAAAATTAGCCAGGTATGGTGGCACACACCTGCAGTCCCGGCTACTCAGGAGGCTGAGGCAGGAGGTTTGTCTGAGCCAGGAGTTTGAAGTTGCAGTGAGCTACTCTGATGCCACTGCATTCTAGCCAGGGTGACAGAGCAAGACCCTGTCTCAAGAAAAAAAAGGAGAAAGAGAAGAAGAAGAGATCCTACACATATAAAACACTGTCTAGGTGAAGGCAACGTGGAGAGCCTCTGACAAAGGATGCCAGGCCAACATGCCTGCTAGATTCCCATCTCTGCAGTTTGCTGGCTGCAGTGTCATTTCATCCAGAGCAGAGCCTCCCAAGACTTAAAGATAATGACAATTTCAAGAGCACGAACTGTGATTAATTAGAATGTCAGAGGGCAATGATAAGAAGCAAAAACATTCTGGAGTCTCTGGCAAGATGTGAAAGATGTTTACTAACTCCTCTTAGGACTGAACTAGCCCTTTCTCAGGGCTTGCTTCTTCTGTGAAGCAGGGATGTGATGATACCACCTCTCAGGGTTGTTGTGAGGACCCAAGGAGATAATTAGGTAAAAGTGCCTCTGAAAAGCCACACATACCTCTGCTCATTCATTCAATCAACCAACACTCTTGAACACCTACAATATTGCAGGAACTGTGTTAGGAACTGGAATACAGAATCACATTATCATCTCCCCTCTCCCCTTCTTTCTCCATCCTTGTCTCTTCTTGTCTAGGGCCATATGAGGGAAGATGGGCACCATAGTCGTGACCAATTCCCCAGCTAAGTGCTTCTGTCCTAGGGAATTCTTGCTATGGCCCAAGCTTTAGACTTACATTGGATTGGCAGAGGGCTTCCTCAGCTGTAGCTCATTCATCAAATCATTAATTCACTTACTGTGAGCTAAGCATGGTTCTAGGTGCTAGAGATAAAGTGGTAAACCAACCAACCAAGGTCCCTGCCCTTGTGGGAGTTCACTATCAACTGGAGAAGACAGGCCTTAAACAAATCAATTCGCAAATAAATATATATTCACAAACCATGGTGAGGGTATTAAGAAGTAGGAAGAGAGGAGTAGAATCCAGCTTAGAAGGCCTCTCTGAGGAGGCATGAAGCTGAGATCTTTGAAGGATGAGAAGTTGACCACACAAACAATCTAGGGGAGGAGCCCTCCAGGCAGAAGGAAGGAAATGGTCAAAGGCCCTTGAAGTGGGAGAGAACATAGTGTCTTCAAGAACTGGCAGGAAAGCAGTGGGACAGAGCCCAGAGCAAGTAGACAGGGGTTCTCAACTGGAATGAGAGGCAGGGGCAGGACCTTGTCAACTGAGGTAAGGAATTTGTTGTAAGTGCATTTCTAATGCTTCTGCTCTCTTCCCAGCACTAGTGAAGAAATGAGCTGGTTTGTTCTGCCAGTTCTATCATCCCATGATGGTGATGAAAGGTTGGAGATTGAAGAAATTTGGCATAACAGAAACCACCAAAAAGATTGTCAGCTTTGGCCAGGCGCTGTGGCTCATGCCTGTAATCCTAGCACTCTCAGATGCCGAGGTGGGAGGATCTCTTGAGGTCAGGAGTTCCAGATCAGCCTGAGCAAGAGAGAGAACCCATCTCTACTAAAAATAGGAAAACCAGCCAGGTGTGGTGGTCCATGCCTGTAGTCCCAGCTACTTGGGAGGCTGAGGCAGGAGGATCACTTGAGCCCAGGCATTTGAGGTTGCTATGAGCTAGGCTGACACAAGGGCACTCTAGCCCAAGCAACAGAGCTAGACTCTCTCAAAAAAAAAAAAAAAAATCCTAGAAGGAGATGTAAATGTGTACAAATAACTGTAATACAGGAAAAAGAGTGATAATAATCCACAAGAGGGTCAACAGATAGGTACTATCAAAGTAATAAAGCTTTTTCAATTACATGTTATAGGAGCCTTTCAATGCCCCTCTATAGAGAAAACCAGCAAGCACCACAAAGTGGTAAATTATAAGTGATGTAAACACTGCCTCCTGTAGAAGATCACAGGAAGTAAGGCCAGGGGGAGAAAGATGCTCCCATGCACTGCAAGTGGGAATACAAACTGGTACTTCTGGTACCTTTCGGGGAAGAAAGTTAGTAACAGGGATCAACGTATTAAAAAAAAATTCACTTTGACCCAATAATTCCATTTCCAGGAATCTATACTTAAAACATTAGAGATTTGTTCAAGGATTTCTGTATAAGAGTTTTCATTATAAGGTTACTATACCATCAAATAGTTTCAAACAACTTAAATATCCAACCTGATTACATAATTACATTATCATACACCCTCATCATGGAATGTATTTAAACGAAGTTTCTGAATGAAGCACACTAGTGACTTTTGGAAAAGCTCATGATATCATTTTAAACGGATGTGCAAACATATCATTACAATATAATAGGAGAAATGCTTTGACAGACAAGGTAGGAACAACTGGGAGAAAAAAGGCAGGGTCTCAGGAACACTGACACTGGAGGTGGGTCTTGAATGTCGGGGAGGAGTTTCCAGGTGGAAGGAAAAGAGAGAGCAAGTGGAGACCCCTACATTCTGAAGAACACCGGGAAGATAATATACCTCTTGAGAAGGGCTTGCAACAGCCATACCTCTCGTCTGCCACAGTCAGCAAGCCCACTGTCTTTCCTTAAGTGAATTGGTGAGCCCTGACGGCCAACAGGACGGGTGGTGCCCTCCGCGGATGCAGCTGGTAATCCCAAGCGCCGGAAGCAACGCTCAGCCATCCACCCGGATCCCTGCGCTCAGGCTTCCCGTGTGTGAAATAAGTCCCAGGTGCAACGTAGCCTCCCCACCCAGCTTTTCTGTTGGCGCCAAAAACGACCCAGAGTTTCGCTTCATCGCGCAAGCGCAGTTGGCTGTTGGACTACGCTGGTGTGAAGTTTCACACTCAGGAGGATGAAGGGTGTGTGAGGCCTATGTGGCTCAAAAGAGTCACTCTTAGGTAAAGGAGGGGGCCTGGCTGGGGAGTTGGCACAGGGCAGGAGGGGCCCCGCTCACGCAGAGCTCTCCTCCTTCTGAGCTCTTTGCCTGGGTTCTCCCTGGCGGTAGGCCTCCCAGGCCTCTATCCCGCTCTCTGTAGTCCTCTTCCCTCCCTGAGCCGCCCTACTAGCAACCCTTTTCTGCTTCCTTCTTCAGCCCCTGAGTCATCCTTTTGTGTTCTGTCCACTGCCCTGTCTATGAGGGGCAGAGGTGAGATGGTTTGAGAACGAAGGCTTGGGGGAAGAAGTAAGTCCCTGGCCTGGCTGCTAGCACCCACTTCGGGCCTGGCTTCCAGACACCCAGCTTCTCTTAGGCAGCACACGGTTTGGTCTGGTTTCTCCCTTGGTAATTGTGGATCTTTCCTGACTCACTTGTTCAGCGACTGGGGCTGCCCTAGTCTTTCAAACCCAGCAGTGAGCTTGGACAGGCCCAGGGCTGTTTACTTAAGATAATAGGAGCTCTGGACAAAATCAAACTCTTCCCATGACTTTGACCTCTCTTTGGTTATGCCTCTCTAGGATGTGGGGTGTCTTTAGGTCTATGTAGCTGGAGGATGCTGGGAAATGTGAGGGGAAGATGTTTCCTCTTTAAAATTTGAATGCCTTTCTGGTCACCTGCGCTCTCCTGTTGGTCACTAATCACACTGCTGTTGTCTTATTCTTTTTCTTTCTTTATCTTTTACTTGCCTAGCCCCTGAAGGCAACAAGTTTCATGTTACTGGAAGTTCACTCCTCCATGCCCTTACCTGTGGAGTTTCTCACAAATGCTTTTTCTCCTCCAGCTCAGAGCATGTCTCATGTGGAGGAAGCAGCCCGGCGGCTGTCCAAAAGTGGGAGGAGCCTCTATGCAGTGCTGGAGCTCAAGAAGGGTGCGTCACCTGAGGACGTCAAAAAGGCGTACAGGTTCAGACTTCAGCCTTTTGTTAAACCCTGGAGTTTTCCCTTTTAAACCTTTTTCTTTCTACTTTGCTCCTGACCCATTTTTAAATCCCAGCAAGCCTTCACTTTGGGGCCAAATGGGGCCATCACCCTCTTCACTGTGGCATGGGAAGGAATTTAGACCTTAGCTCCTTGCCTCCATCCTTTGTACTGCATCTCATGCATTCTTTCTACATGATCCAGAGACCTGTCTTTGTCATTCATCCTACCCTTCCCTCCCCAGCCATTTGCCATCCTCCTCCCTACTAATCTTTTGGGTATTGCCTGGGTAGGTCACTGGCCTTGAAGTATCACCCAGACAAGAATCCAGGGAACCCTCAAGCAGCAGAAATATTCAAGGAGATCAACCAAGCCCATGCCATACTGGGTGACCCTAAGAAGCGGAAAATCTATGACCAGCATGGCTCATTGGGAATATATCTGTATGATCACTATGGCGAAGAAGGCGTCAGATACTATTTTACTCTGAATAGTTGTTGGTTCAAGGTACACAATTCTTCCTAGTCCCTTAAGAATAAGGAAAGAGGGGTGACCCTCCTCTTCCAGGACAAATGCTTCTGTCCTCTCATTTTCTGTGTGCTGGGAGGATTGGAGGGGAGCTCAAATGGTCATAATGAAGAATTGCCAGACTGAGGCCATTGTCTCCCACCTTTTAGACACTTGTCATCCTGTGTGTACTGCTCACTGGCTGCTGTTTCTGTTGTTGCTGCTGTTTTTGCTGTGGAACACTTAAACCACCTTCTGAGGATGCTCATATGAGGAAATATGAACAGAACGTCCAGAGAGAGCCTCCAAGGCCAGGTGAGAACCATAGGCAGGAACTGAGGTAAGACCTGGATTAGGAATGAGAGAAATGGTTGGGGGTAAGAAAGGCCTGTGAAAATGCCATGTTAACCCCTAAATAAGGCAGTTCAAGTCTGGCATTGGGACAGAGTGAAGAAAGAGAAAGGCATCAATATGTTTCTGTGAGCCTTATGCCACAAACTGACAGTTTCAATGCGATGTTGGCCTCTCCTGCTAAGCAAAGGAATGGGGTGGGAGAATATGCCTAGAAAAGGCAGTAGTTGAAGACAGGTTTGAGGATGCAGTTTTTTGCATCTGCTCAAAAGGAAAATGAAGTGTCAGAGATTATGCTCACCCCAAATAGTTCAACTTTAAAATTGTAGGTTGCCTGAACTTCACACCAGTGCCACCTAGTGATGCTAATGAGTAATAGCCGAGTAATGGGTTTCTCATCTGTAGACTAAAAGTACTTACTCTTTATATATGTAATCATATATATAATTCCATCATAGGAGCCAAAAGTCACTTTAGAAACACTGACTATGACGAAGATGATTAAGAGCTGAAGAAGAGTGAGGTATGTAAACTGAAAGGCAGCAATAATTAACAAATGAGAAAAGCATATAAGTAACTTCACATGAGTCATTGGTGCAAAGTTTATGTCTTTGGCCAGGCCTGGTGGCTCACGCCTATAATCCTAGCACTCTGGGAGGCCGAGGCGGGCGGATCACTCAAAGTCAGGAGTTGGAAACCAGCCTCAGAGAGACCTAGTCTCTACTAAAAAAATAGAAAGAAATTAATTGGTCAACTAAAAATATATAGAAAAAATTAGCCGGGCATGGTGGTGCATGCCTGTAGTCCCAGCTACTCAGGAGGTTGAGGCAGAAGGATTGCTTGAGCCTAGGAGTTTGAGGTTGCTATGAGCTAGGCTGATGCCATGGCACTCTAGCCTGGACAACAGAGTGAGACTCTGTCTCAAAAAAAAAAAAAAGTTTATGTCTTTATAATATGGACTACAAGTGTTTATATTCTTAAATATAGGGGGTTTGCTTTAAATTCTAGGATAACGTTCCTGGTTAACAAGGTGCTACCTTCTTCTGCCACTAGGTGCTAACCCAGTGAGGGTACCTTCTGCTGCCCAGTCCACTGGACACATTGAAGAGAGAAGCAAGTAGCCCTGTCCTGACATTGACCCTAATCTAACCCCTTTTCTTATAAGAATCCCAACTTCAGAAGCATTGATGACATCTGTCCCAGTAAGGACATCATCTCTGCCTGTGGTGGTACCACTGACCCTGGCCATACGCAGCCACCTAGCTACTCTTGTTTTTTGTCCTGGTCCCAGTTTTAATCTGTCAGAGAGCAGCTGTCCCATCCTTACCCTTTTGTGGTCTCAGCCAGTGGTGGCAGACTTTTCCTGAGGATTCTTTGTCCTGTGCCTGCCTTGTTATTTGAGCCAAAGTCAGCTGGCAGAGCCCCTGAACCCCTTGTACTATCTCTGCCAAGATCCTGATAACTGGACAGGGTGGATCCTGTCTACAGGTCCATGGAGCTGCTGCACCAGTTAACTCTCTTTTGTTGCAACTCTGTGTTACCAGCAACCCCTGGCATCAGCTCGTTCCTAAACCAATATACCTTTCTGGGGCTAGTCTCACCTTCTCCTGTACCCATGGCCTTTGGCCTTGCCATCCTCATTCCATGCCACTATGAGTTGACTCAGGAAAAATCTGAATGCATTTGAGGCTTAAAGGTAGTCCCATCTTTGGGTTTTCCGTGGACTTCAGCTACTAGCACAACGTGAATGAGCCTTGGTCCTGTGGGTTAACTGAAGTTCACACATGAGTGCCTGCCACCCTCCATCCTTTTTACCACATTGTATGCAGGCTGATCACCATATAGCTTGTTCTTAAAAACAGTGGCATGAAATGTGATAGGGAAAAGATTGTACTTGCAGACTCTTTCCCTGTTCTTGCCTCTTCATGCTGCCTGTTTGGTATCCTTTCTGCATTTATTTTCCATCCACCCAGGGGTCAGAGCTTAGTAACTCCCTGAACTTCTCTCTGCGGACTGGGAAAAGGACTAAAGAATTTCAGTAAATAAAAGAGCTTTTGTCTAATCCCAGTGCATACGTTGGGCCTGAAAAAGACAAATTGTGCTTGGGGTAGAAAAAAAGGCTTATCGGGGAGAAAGAAGACCAGTGCTCACAATTGGGACAGGGCTGGTTTGGATAGTCAGAGTCCAGGACAAGTGGACTTGGGAGCCCCAGAGCCTTGTGATTATGACTTTGTCGGTGCTCTAAAATTTCCCTGGAGATTGATTCCCTGGGTGCCCAAAATAGGTCCCTCGCACTCAGATCCTTTCCACCCAGCTCAGCTTCTCTCAGTTTCCAAACAAATTTGAAATCCTTGGAGTGGTTCCAGTGGTGTGTTCATGGACTAGAGTCCCACACTTTCTCAGGGGCATGCTCCTAGGTACTTCTAGGCCCTGGTCCAACAGCCCTTCTAGCCTCTTGAGCTTCTTTTTCTAGGGTGATATAAGAAAAGGCTGAGCCAGAATAAAAGTGAGCTGGAAGTGTTGGACAAGAGGCTCTCTCTTTAGTCTCTGGTGTGGCTGTTCTGAATCACATGGTCTTAAAGAGGAGAACCAGGGCCACTCACTAAGCCTGTGGAGGAGGAAACTGTCAGCAGTCGCAGGTCTAGCAAGATGTTGCCACACACCCTGAACCACATTTGGTGACTTTCACACAGGCCATCTTAGATTCTGTGTCACTGTCCTGGAAGAAAGCCCAGCCAGAGCAGGGATCAGGGGCTCACAGAAGCCTTCCAGGTGAGGACCAGTGAGAGACCACTTTTGCTGCCCCCTCTTTCACTCTGAGCAGTGGTGCTCACCTCTGCTCTTGCTCAAGAGAGTCAGTCACCCATTCCTGAGTGAGTCAGGGTCACTCACTCGGTGACAGCTGTGGCTCGCCTTACATGAGCTAAATTGGGAGTTGGAATGTCACACAGATGCCCCTTGTCTCCCTACCCCCACAGTAAAATTAATCTCCTCTCTGGGGAGTAAGGGACAAACAGTGCTGCCCACAGAGTGAACAAGAGAGAGTCATTTAGAAAACAAAAGGAGAATTTTACAGGAAGGGAGGGATAGATAAAACCACAGGTGCCTGGCCGGGGTACAGAGCAAAGAATAGGGAGAGACAGAGAAGTGTCTGGAGACAGCTATCTGAGGAGGAGACGAGTTGTTAGAAGAAGGGACAGGAGAGATAGCAGAGTTATTTCAAGAGTGAGCAACGGAGGGAACATAAGAATCCACAGACTGTCTAAAGTAAACGAGGAAGGGTCCAGAGGCAGTGAGAGAAGGCCAGGAGCGGGGCCCAGTCCAGGGTAGGTACGATCACTGAGGGGATGAACTTCACAGTGGGTTTCAAGCCGCTGCTAGGGGATGCACACAGCATGGACAACCTGGAGAAGCAGCTCATCTGCCCCATCTGCCTGGAGATGTTCTCCAAACCGGTGGTGATCCTGCCCTGCCAACACAACCTGTGCCGGAAGTGTGCCAACGACGTCTTCCAGGTGGGCTCCGGGGACAGGGCAGGGCCAGGTAAAGCAACACAGACTTGTGGGAGTCTGATCAGGTCAGAGCTGAGAACCCAGAAGGTGATGGGTGGAGGGCTCTGTGAGGTGGGTGGGTGGCTGCTGTGGCTGAAGAGGTCCTAGCAGATCCCAAAGCAAGCATGAGTCAGCAGCTGCTCTGCTGGCTGGCAGGTCCAGCCAGACAGTGCTGTGCACAGACAGCAGCTGGAATGCTGGGACCTACTGAGGAAAGAGACCCAGTAGATACTGGGAGGGAAGGGATCCTATACCCAGCTCCATAAGAGCCTGTGCCAGACTCTGCATTCCAGTTCAGAGTTTCAGACTTTGGGAAAATTGTGGAAAATCAGGAGAAAAGATCAATGAGATAATGAAACATTTAAAAAAACAAAACAAAACCCTGTAAGCCTCTGAGAAAGCTCCATAATGACAGTGAAACTATTTATGCTTAAGGCAAAGCTCAATGCATTCACTTTAGGGGGCAGAGTTAGAGAGAGTGGGCAGGATACTGGGAATTCTTCCCAACTTCAGTTCATACCTGTGTCCTCTCCAGGCTGTTCAGTAAAGAGACCTATAGGTTAAAAGGTATTGAGGTCATTTGACAGGCAAGGAAAAGGCAGAGAAGAAATTTTACTTCCCAGAATTACAGCCAGTTTTGGTTTATTTGTGGTCACGGAGCAGAGCATAACTAATCAAATTCACAGGTAACAGTTTAGCCACTGGTTTCAAAAATGAAAGCAGCATACACCAGAATCGTTTATAAATGTTTTGTTTTTTTTTCTTGCCCTGTGCCCCTGGTGGAGGTTCTAGTAAGCTGACAAAATGGCACGGAGGTCAGGGAAAATGAGGGGCAAAGGCAAACATGCATAAGAGGCCTTGCAAATGAAGTGAAAACCCTGAACAGACCAGAGCCGGCTGGCTTAATATGCATGTCAGTGATAAGGGACATCACGAACTAGCATTCTTCATCTGTATCAGAAATTAGAACGAAATGTGTTGAACACATGATTTTTAACCTAACCAAGAAAATATTTCCCCCATTTTAAGTTCTTTGGGGCGGCATGTTTAGGGAAAAGACTGGGCTGGCTAAGTCAGACCATCCCATGCAGTTCCCTGTGAGCCACCCCATGTCTATCTGCTGTCTGCAGTCCTCACCAGGTGTCCAGCACCCTGTTGTCTCTCCTGCCATCTTCCCATTGTGGCCCCTTCCTGTCTCCTTCTAAGTATCCAAACCTATCATTATTTGGCCACAGAGTATCTCAGCCAGGAGATTTCCCCCTCTGGGGCCTGGACTGAATGCTGTGCCTGTTGATCCTGGGCATCAAGTCCTGTATGAGAGGCGACCACTTTCCCACCATCTTGGTTTTTCCCTTGGTCTAAGTAACTCCCTATATTTCCAAATGAGGTCACACACACAAAAAAATAAAAAAATAAAGTAACTCCCTAAAGATCCTTTAGGCTGAGGCACCCAGGAAGGAATGACAGAAAGATTTTTGCCACCTTTTCTTATGAATTTATAGTGAAATATCCTCATTAGAACCTGAAATATGTGAAAGCAAAGAGAAATGTTGAAAGCTAAGGTAATGTATCCTGTAGATACATTAAAAGATACCCATCACTCCAGGTTCACAGAATCATCCCAAAGCCTTAGGAATCATGCATCTCCCAAGTATTCTCCACAGGGTTTGCCCCAAACCATTCCCAGGTCTCTCTGGGCCCAGGTCAGTATTCTAGAACTTTCTGGAACCAAAACAGTGTGATTGGATACAGAGGGATGACTTGAACAAGTATCCTGTAGAAAAGAGATCAGAATGTCAACGTGCAAGCCACATGGTATCATCTGGCAGAGAGAAACAGGAATAGGCCCCATACACGGAGGCTAGAAGATGTTTAAGTTACCTCCTTGTTCAAGTCAGCCCTCTGTATCCAATCACACTGTTTTGGTTCCAGAAAGTTCTAGAATACTGACCTGGGCCCAGAGAGACCTGGGAATGGTTTGGGGCAAACCCTGTGGAGAATATTTGGGAGATGCATGATTCCTAAGGCTTTGGGATGATTCTGTGAACCTGGAGTGATGGGTATCTTTTAAACTACAGAGCACCCCTAGGCCCTCCAAAGAAAGAAGAGTGAACAGCTCATTCCTTATTGCTTAATTTGGGAGGCCTGGTGGGAGGCTGGCCCAGTTCTTCAGCTGCATGTAGAGATGTACATCTCAATATATCTCAGTAGATCTCCCTCTGAAAGATGAGCATATTTAGTTTTTTCACACATTGCCTCCACATTTTGACAACTCTAGGCATAATCAGATTGTCTGTTTTCTAAGTATGGGGACAAGAATAGGACTTTTGGTCCCTCTGTCTTCAAACCCCTTAGGAAGAATACCCTTAGAACCTTGCCTAGAAAGTTACACTGTAAAAGTAACACCAGTATTTCATATTTAGAATCTTTAATTATATACATATTGTTTTCAAACAGCATAGGAGTTTATATCATGAAAGTCACTTCATACCCTCAGTTTCCTTCACCAGATGGAAGTAACCATTACCAACTTTCTTGGCAGTACTTCCAGAAAATTTCTGTGAATAGGTACGTTTGCATGGTTGTACGTACTTAAACTAGACCTATTGTCCTATTATACCTGCCTTTGTTGACTTACTCTCTCAGTGCTTGTTTTATATCCACACATTCAGATCTATGTCTTCCTTTTTATTTTATATTTTAAATTTAATTTTAATTTTTTTTTTTTTGAGTCAGGATCTTGCTCTGTTGCCCAGGCTAGAATGCAGTGGCATTCTCATAGCTCACAGCAACCTCAAATTCCTGGGCTCAAGTGGTCCTCCTGCCTCAATCTCTCAAGTGGCAGGGACTACCGGCATGTACCACCATTCCTCACTAATTTTTAGACTTTTTATAGAGAGGGCTTCTCACTAAGCTACTGAGTCTGGTCTCAAACTCCTGGCCTTAAGCGATGCACTGCGCCCTGCCTGTCTTCCTTTTTATTTTTATTTTTTTTAGAGACAGAGTCTCACTTTGTTGCCCAGGCTAGAGTGAGTGCCGTGGCGTCAGCCTAGCTCACAGCAACCTCAATCTCCTGGGCTAAAGCAATCTTACTGCCTCAGCCTCCCGAGTAGCTGGGACTACAGGCATGTGCCACCATGCCTGGCTAATTTTTTCTATATATATTAGTTGGCCAATTAATTTCTTTCTATTTATAGTAGAGACGGGGTCTTGCTCTTGCTCAGGCTGGTTTCGAACTTCTGACCTCGAGCAATCCGCCCGCCTTGGCCTCCCAGAGTGCTAGGATTACAGAGCGTGAGCCACCGTGCCCGGCCATCCTTTTTAAATAGCTGTATTGTGTTTCATTGTTATGACTGGACCACAGCCTATCCAGTCTGTCCCATAAAACATTTAGATGGTTTCCAGTGTTTTGCTGTCTTAAAAAGTGCTGTGATGGACAAAAAACAAGAGTTTGGGGAATTGTGATTTTATAGACAACCAGGAAGCAAAATTTGAAAAGTTAGAACATTTTAATTGGAAAT